CTCTCAAACCTCTCCGCACAGGAACATCTCTTGTGCCCAATCCTTCCAGATTTCAATATCTAGAACATCACACAGACAGAAAGGCTTTGGGGAAAACGTGGCCCTCTACCCCGTTCCAACAAGGACAGAAGCTCTATTGAGAAAGGCAGCTCTATTTGACTCCATCTCCTAACTTGGCCCTGGACCTCCAGATAATGATAAGCTTTGGAGTCATTTCTTGCTTCGAACACTTGCTAGCTGCACAACCTTGGGAAAGGTACTCAACCCTTCTAAGCCTGTTTCCATGTATGTAGTATTTGCAAATAACATTTACTTCACAAGTTTGAATGAAAATTAAATGAGATAAAGCAGGAAAGTACATGGCCTAGTATACAGAAACACCCACATACAAATAAGCTGCCTTCATTATTCTTGTCATTATTATCTTAAACTCTTAGCCCATTGCAGGTATTCCGCAAATAACACTCCCTATTCACACAGGAGATGCTCTGTCTTGTTTCAGCTCTCATACTGTAAAGCAAATATCTCTCTGCAGTCTCTTTAGGGCCACATTTTTGCATTTTTGTTCTTCTGCTGTTGCAAATGGCCCCCAAGCATAATGCTAGAATGCTATCTAGAGTTCCTAGAAAATATGAATGTTAGGCAAGCTTTGTTCAGGCAGGAGTTAACACTGCTGTCGGCTGTGAGCACAAGCTTAATCAACAATATTATACAACTTACATATTAAATAAGTTGTCTTTAAACAGAAACACACATAAGGTTATATATTGATCAGATGACTAAGATGATATGACCTGAGGCCTGCAGGAACCTAACCATCAATTTTCCCCTAGGAGCCATGGCTCAGAATTCTCCAGTTCCATGTTTCCCACAACTTCATAAAACACAACCCCTGTGAAATCAGGAGAATCGATGCTATTACATTAAAGGTAGAATAAGAGAGTAGGTGAGAATGTCTAGAACATGAAGCTGGCGGGGCAGATCCAGGTTGTGAAAGAGCCTCTTATATCCTACCAAGGAAGGTGGACTTCTAATTGCTTCTAATCTGTAGCTGCTGATTCAAAGACTACGGGCTTGGAAAGAGTCTGTACACCTTTCTCCTCCTTATAGAATCCCTGGTATCTATAAACAAGGATATTTATTTAAATCCTTTGTGGTTTTTATACCTGAATGCTCCATCATAGCAATGCAGTGAGTAAAGGACCTTGGAAGCAGCAAGCTCTCCATTTGCCAAGAAAAAGTAAAAGAAACTAAGTAAGAAAATATGCAACACACATCTTTCAGATCCCAGAACTACAAAGCTTCTCCCCATCCAAAATTAATCTGATGGCAATTAATAGTCATTCTATTGTAACAATCTCTGACATCCTATTTTAATGCTCTACTTCATTCTCCTTCTTCTAAAGCAGATTTCTGAATTAGCAGGGAGTTAATGTTCATGAATATGTTTCTTTTCAAGGCAGACGAAATACTCTTTAAATAATGTCTTACTCTTAACATACTTGAAATGAAACAGAAGTTCACTAAAAGTACAAACACTAAAAAACAAAAAAATCACTTCAACTGTAATAGTTCTCTCCTTGTCTGTTATGTTCATCTTGTCCTCATTCTGGAATATATCAGCAAACCTAACTGAACTCAGCACCATCTGAACTCAATACACACAGTAATTTAGCACCTAGACTCTCAAGGCAAACTACCTGGGCTGAAATCCTGCACCACTACTCATTAGTTGTGTGAGCTGGGACCAGTGACTTTACCTCTCCATGACTCCAGCTCCCAACTGTGAAACAGGAATTGAATACAGATAAGGTCCATGGAACAGGACCTGGCACGTAAGTTCCACGTAAAAGGTAGCTTTAAAACTATTGTTAATTGTTTTTGCAAAAGTCATTTTCCTCATAAAAGATAAGAAAAAAGTAAAAACAAAGTCTTTAAAATGTTATTTTAAATAAGCATGTAAAAGTGACATATAAAAATGGACATTTTCACATTTAAAACAAGAAAACAAAATTTGGAAAAACAAAATTTAATATATAACTAAAAATAAAAAGGCTATTGTAAAGTTTCAATACTATGTTTACCATTCATTTTGACTACAGTCTAAGGACATATGGAAGCAAAACATGGATCTTAAACATAAGCCTCACAGTATGTTTTTATGACTATTCTAGCCACTCAATTTACTATTATAATTGGATTCAACATCTAAAATGATGAAACCAAACATCTAGTTTCTATCACAACCTATTTCTTAATCTTTAATAACTTTTAAAGAAGAAACAATCATTCAATGTCAAGATTATAGTGTCTGGTGTTTCTTACAAAATCTTTAATAAAACATCCACACCAATAACCATGTTATCCTTAAAATTAAAGTCATGCAAATGTATGTTTATGTTGTACTATATTAGTGATTACTACAAGCCATAACCCTGCATGTTCACTATGAACCAGGGGAAAATAGCCATCACCACTAAAATGCAGACCAAAAAGTGCCAAGTCTTACTTTTTTAATGACAAGGACCAAAGCACCTGTGAGAGAAACGGATAAGCCAACAGCTTCTAAACCTTTCTCTGCATTTCGGAGTGATACTGTTTGAGAGTAAATCCCACAAGAGGTATCGTGGGAAAATCTGCTGGCTGTTGCACATGCTTTTTCACTTCCTGAATCTTATATTCCCTTTGCTTCCACAGAATTCCAATGTCTCTAAAATATAACCCTGTAATTTAATCCTGCCTAAATCTTCCCAAACTTTTACTTTCTCAAAAAACAAAAAGGTCCTATGAACACATATCACTCAGTTTTACAACACTGAATACTAAGATCACATTTAACTCTACCTTTTCTTACCTATCTCTTCTACAAATTAAAAATCGTTCCAAAAAACAAACCCCCTTAGCCTGACAAGTTCAGACCCGATTATAATATTTGTGGTTAATTATTGTGGTTGGAATTCTGAAGTGTAGCAGGATTTGCAAGCTAGACATCTGGCTTGTTTAGACACTACCCGGACGTCAACACCTGCACCTCTTAACTCGGATAATAATACTGGGGCGCCTCCTCACTCCCCAACCTCCAAAAGTAAAGACCTTTTGTTTAGATAACTCAATATATTAATCTGTTTATGAAAATACTTTAAATTTGCAAAGGACTGATGTTTTATGTCCTAGGAGAAAAACATCATCAGGAACAAAAACCGCTCTAGCTGTAGAAGATTATAAAAACAAACAACAAAGAAGCAAATGTATTTCTGTTCTGATACAAAGGAAAATGAACTGGCATGAAGGCAGACCAGTTAAAACTACCATCCAAATCTGCTCATATGAAATGTCTTTCACACAATCAGAGAAGTACTCTCTCAACAGCCATATAAGTTTTATTCTTTTTAGCTATTTTAAATTCCTATAAGATAGAGGATAATCACATTTATTGAGGCTGGATTCCAATGCCAGTTGTAAGTTAACTTATCTGATTAAATATCTTATTTGTCTTCATTTTCCCATATTGTTTCATAGAGTGGTTTGTAATAATAGATGCTCAATAAAAATATCTTTTAATTATTACAAAAGTCTTGGCTCATTTCAAGGTTTAGATAAGGTAACAAAATAAAATTTAAAAACAAAATAAAGGAAAACAAAGAAAGCCCAAACAATATAACTTTGAAATTTTTATTATTCAAAATATTTAACCTATGGTGCTAGGGCTTTCTGGGCTGAAAATGGAACTCTGTCTCACAGCCTACTTACAAGAATGTGAGCGTCATTGAAAGAGCAGTGAAAATAAAAAAAGGAAAAAAAAAAAGAATGTAGGAGTTACCATAGTTTAAAAAAATCCCAAATTAATTAAATGCTTATTTGAACCAAGTTGTTTTTCTATATAAAGTACCAGTGTTGTTAGCTTTTTTAAAGAAAATCTCATTTAATAAAATTAATAATTTATTAAACTATACTGTGCTAAGATATGGCTTGTAGATATAAAGAAGAATAATCTCTTGCACTTAGTATAATTAAAAAATATGTTTGAGTTGCTCTCATCTTTTATTAGAAAAGACAGCAAGAATTAATTCTTTGTTAAACTGTCTATACACCTTATAAATTGTCTGATAAATTCCTTACCTCTTCCAACCTCAATTTCAAAAGGGAACTGTATAGAGTATAGTTTAGTTTCAAAATCATATGTGATTTGGAAACATATATACACTTCAGCACATCTGTTCTAGAAGTTAAAACATTAGCAAATTCATTCTCCGAGTATATGTTGTATAATTGTTAACCCTTTTCAGATAATGCTTCTGATTATCTTTAACCAATCTCAGACTTTTAAGTACTACATTTTGCAAGGTTAAGAGAAAGGTACAGACTGCTAAGAGAATTAATAGCATTAACATGAGCAAAAGTGGACACATACAGTCTGAAGATTAACTGTATATTATTTAGCTCTCTGCATACAACAGCATAAGATCAATCTGAGAAAGTTAGGTACTATATATAACAACAAAAAATCACTGAATCAAGGCCTCTGCCAAAAATAAAAGCTTTACTTACCATCTAATCAAAAATTAAATAATTTCAAATTTATCACAAAGTTCCCCTTTAAGCTTGAAATTAGAAAAGGATAAAAAGTATAGAGATAGAAAGATAAGGCTTATAGTTATATTTATTCCTTAATAATTAAGATTTGCATCTAAAAAATTAAGATTATCCTCCTGAATTTTAGAAATCCTTATCAAAATATTTCCTAAAAACAAGCATGACACCGTATTTGGCTACATAAATAAACTACAAGGAATATTTAAACACTAAACAAACACAAAAGAAATAAGAACCATGGGAATCAATTTGGGTCACACTGTATCTATTTGTTCCTGAGAACATTATCACCGCCTGGTTGTCATGCTCAGTTCTCCCTTCTACAACGCACCGCACATCCAATCCACAAGCACACAGAATTCCAAGAACATTACCAAATATTAAGTCAGAGCACTTCTGAAACACACCTTGTAATTGTCCACAGCCTCTGCAGTTCATATCAGAGCTCAGCAGCTTCTCTTTATCTTCACCAGTGATGTAAATACAAATACCATACATCACTCATTAAAACAAAACAAAACCCCCCACAATTAGAAATAAATTTATTGCCTCAGAGATAAATCTCCTCTGTTAACCCAAACCAACATTATGTCTTGGGGTAAACCTAAGCACATGCTGAGCACCCCGCCGCTTATCTCCTCTATCATTTGTTTCTAACGATAGCTGACAAACTAGCCACACAAATCCTTTTTTAGCTGCTGATCAGACAGATCCCCCTTTGACAATCCAGCATGGTGGAACACTCGAAAATTCTTCCTGCTTCTATTCTATTGCTTGCTCTAAAACCCGGTTTCCTTTTCATTGAGATAATAGCCTTTTCTGCAGTCACATGACTCAGAAGCTACATTAGCAGAGCTTTATGATAATAGACTGAGTAAGCCTCTACCCCCCTCCTGCTATTAAGGGGATGTCTTTTTCTTTTCTCTCCCTCTCCTTCTCTCTCACAGTCTCAGACTCAGTCTCTCACTCTCTCACACACACATACACACGTGCATGCAATGTACACGTGCACTCACATACGCATGTCTAAAATTATTTAGTCTTCTTGGAATGTTCATAATAAATAAAAATATATACCCTAAAATGAAAATATAATTTCTAGTTCTGCTGCTAAAAATAAATGCTCAAAACAAACATTCTGATGCACTGTCTTCCTTTCACTAGGATGTACCACACTGACCTTGAACAGTGAGGGGCAGTTAAAAGCAAATATATGCTGTCTTGAGCTTTGCCCTCAATGACATAAATCTGAACTATCTGGCGTAATGAACATTTTGAAGGCATTATAGCTATCCACATACTGAGAATTAATTCCCTGTATTAGTAAAACACATGTAAACATACTTTTAAACACCAAGATGTACTCTTGTTAGGAATATATCCTTATTAAGTAATTAATAATTTGCCCGAAGAAGAAAAATATTCCCATGACCAAAGCAATCTTAATAAAAATAATAATCAAAGTTCCTTTAAGGCTGGTTACTTTCGTCCATTTCTGATAAATAATCAACTCTCAAAATACAAATGTGGAAACACCAGCACAGTGCCTGACACACAGAGGCTGCTCCATAATTTTTTAAAATGTCCCTAGTAACAAGTAGAAGCACCAGATAAAAAGAAGGCAGCTGATTACATTATATTCCTACTTCATCTTTGGTTATGGTTTGTTTCACATTAAAAATTGTTCTTAATCCATGAGGCAAGCAATTTGAGGAAGAAGTTTAAATGTGAGAGTGCTGGGTAGTTGAAAGTGGAGAAAAAGATAGGGTAAGGAAGCACACTCAAGTACAATGTGAAAGTGAAGAATGCTGTACACAGGGAGACTGAAGGAATGATGAATTCTGTTAATCTGAAGACAACAGAAATTTAAACTATATTTTACATTTTTTGGTTATAACTGGCTTCCTCATCTCAAAAGTGCAAAACGTATTTTTAATATATATTTTTTACTTTTGACTCTGATAAAATATATGTAACACAAAATTCATCATCTTAACCATTTGTAAGTATACAGTTCAATAGGGTTAAGTACATTCACACTGTTATGCAACAGATCTCCCGAACTTTTTCATCTTGCAAAACCGAAACTCTACACCCATTAAACAACTCCTATTTCCTCCTCCCCTAGCCCCTGGCAACCACCATTCTACTTTCTGTTTCTGGAAGTTTGAGTACTTTAGATATTTCATATGAGTGGAATCACACAGTAATTGTTCTTTTGCATCAAGATACTTTACAAATTGTTTTAATACCAGATCAAGACAGAGGTTTCATTTCACAGTCATTTTACATAAACTGAATTATTCATAAGTAAACTGAGCCAGAGTTATATTCTTTAATACAGAAAAACCAATAGATACCAGAAGGGATTATTATCATTATCACATAAAAGTTATCTATACAAAAAACTCTCTAAGTTCTCAGAACTCAAGATATTTGACAACTCCAAATTTAGAATCTGACGATTCCAAAACTTAGTTGACTCTAATTAACCACTCAACATATAAATAAATGGGATAGAATGAGTGTTTATTAATTCTCTTTAAGTCACTTAAGGGAACCATGGTCACTCTGGAAGACCACACTAACAACTAACAGAGACTGAAATGATTAGCGAGGTGCCAGGGAATGTAAGTTTCCAAAAAGACCAGAGCAAAGAAATTTAATTAGAAAATAAAATGATTTCAGAGATGAAGAAAATAAACGCAAAAATTTAAAAAATACCAGCCCATGCCAACACCTCATAATGAAAACCCAAAGCACAATGCAGAATTTTTAAGATAATATTTTAATTGCTAAAGACCCTTTTAAAGTTATAATGATTTGTAATGTCACCTAAATATTTTCATTATGGACTTAAAATCTAAAATCAATAATCAGCCAAGACAACATATAAAATCAATGCAATGACTAGCAGATCTCAGAGACTTTTAAAAGACTAGCAAAAAACGGCAGGGGGTGGTTTGTGAAATCCGTCTACGCAAATGTGTCCTTTTTCTGCTCACAAGGTCATGAAATCTTTGGCAATCTTATAGACCACTTCTATAGAGGGAGCGTGAGATCACAGACACACTAACATTAACACCATGTGTCCTTTATTAACTACAATGCCGCTTTTACAAATTATTTCTCAGCCAGATCATGGGTAGCAGCAAAATGCTATGCATTCCCTGATCAGATCAATCGCAGTAAGAAAACGCCTTCTGCCAAACACATCTAAGTAAAAAATGTCTTGATCCAGATTCTGTGCTTATACTTCAAGATGTATTGCTGTTAGCAAATCTGCCCCTCTGTCATATCTTCTGCTGGCATACACTAGTTGGTAAAATTGCCCAACTCTTCTCCTGAGTGCAGAAGGTAGCAACAGCAGATTTTATCATTAGCAATTTTAAACTTTTTTCTTCATCAAGGCAGTAGTGTTTACAAGGAAATTAGGCTAGATAATTTGTCAAGTTGTTTTTAGCTTTAACATTTATGATGGTGGTTGTATATAGCTGTGGCTCATTTCTTAATCCAAGAGTCTGGTGAGAAGTAAAACAAGGATTCAATAGTGTAATGTTTTCATTTTTAAATTGAGGGACAATTTACATTCAGTGCCATATACAGATCTAAAGAGAACTTAAGAGTAAACTTCAATAGTTGGGACAAATGAAAGCATTTATGTAATCCAGGTTCCTATCAAAATATACAACACTTCCATCACTCTGCAAAGTTCTCTTGTGCCTGTTCTCAGGCAATCTCCATATATCCTCATCCTGCCAACAACCACTGTACTCTGATTTTCTATTACCACAGATTAGCTTTGCTTTGTCTAGAATTTCCAATAAATGAAATCATACAATAAATACTCTTCTGTTCCGGCTCCTTTCAGTACAGTGTTTGAGATTCATCCATATTACTGCATAGCCATAGGGGACTGGTTCTAGGAGCTTCCCTTGGATATCAAAATTCATGGATGCTCAAGTCCTGGATATAAAAGGTATAGAATCGGAATATAATCTATGCATATCCTCTCATATACATGAAATCCTCTCTATGTTGCTGATGATACCTAATAAAATATAAGTGCTATGTAAATAGTTGTTATACTGTATTGTTTTGGGAATAACGACAAGGGAAAAAAGTCTGCACATATTCATTACAGACAAAATTTTTTTCTCCTATTTTCTATCCAAGGTTGGCTGAATCTAGTGTGCAGAACCCAACAATATGAGGGTGACCATATATTAATAATGTGTTCCTTTTTATTGCCAAAGATATTTAATTACATGAATATACCATGTTTTATCCATTCTCCTATTGGTAGACATTTAAGTTGTTTCCAATTGGGAGCTTGTAATGAACAGAATTCCAACGTGGTTCTGCAAGATTCTCCACCCCCGCAGTGGGCATGGCCTGCACATTTTCTAGGACTATAAATATGACAGATGTTTTTACCCCAATGATCAGTTTATGTTATATGGCACAACTGGCTCTAAGAAAGAAAGATGACTTGGGTGGGCCTGCACTAACCATGCATTTTCTTTGTTAGTGTACCCGAGGGGCAGGCTCCTCAGCATTAGTGCACTGGCACTGAAGAACAGAGATGGATGGACGGGATTCAAGACGGCTGAAAAGGAATAGCTCTGGAGTGCAGTTCCCAGTGAGGATCCAGAGGCCGCTGCAGGTGATCCCAGGCAAGCAGGGTCTGGAGTGGACCTCCAGCAGTCCTACAGCAGAAGGTCCTGATTGTTAAAAGGAAAACTAAAAAACAGAAAGAACTGACTTCATCATCAACAAAAAGGATATCCACTCAGAGACCCCCATCCGAAAGTCACCAACTACAAAGACCACAGGTAGATAAATCCACAAAGATGAGAAGAAACCAGTGCAAAAAGAATGAAAACACCCAAAACCAGAACGCCTCTCTTCCTCCAAGGGATCACAACTCCTTACCAGCAAGGGAACAAAGCTGGATGGAGAATGAGTCTAATGAATTGACAGAAACAGGCTTCAGAAGGTGGGTAATAAGAAACTTCTCTGAGCTAAAAGAACATGTTCTAACCCAATGCAAAGAAGCTACGAACCTTGAAAAAAGGTTTGACGAAATGCTAACGAGAATAAACAGCTTAGAAAAAAATATAAATGAATTGATGGAGCTGAAAAACACAACACAAGAACTCCGTGAAGCATATAAAGTTTCAATAGCTGAATCAACTAAGCAGAAGAAAGGATATCAGAGATTGAAGATCAACTCAATGAAATAAAACAAGAAGGCAAGTTTAGAGAAAAAAGAGTAAAACGAAATGAACAAAGCCTCAAGAAATATGGGATTATGTGAAAAAACCTAATCTAAGTTTGATAGGTGTACCTGAATGTGACGAGAGAATGAATCCATGCTGGAAAACACTCTTCAGGATATTATCCAGGAGAACTTCCCCAACCTAGCAAGGCAGGCCAATATTCAAGTCTAGGAAATACAGAGAACACCACAAAGATATTCCTAAAGAAGAGCAACCCCAAGGCACATAATTGTCAGTTTCACCAGGGTTGAAATGAAGGAGAAAATGCTAAGGGCAGCCAGAGAGAAAGGTCGGGTTACCCACAAAAGGAAGCCCACTGGACTCACAGCAGATCTCTCAGCAGAAACATTATAAGCCAGAAGAGAGTGGGGGCAAATATTCAACATCCTTAAAGAAAAGAACTTTCAACCTAGAACTTCATATCCAGCCAAACTAAGCTTCATAAGCGAAGGAGAAAGAAAATCCTTTACGAACAAGCAATTACTTAGAGATTTTGTCACCACCAGGCCTGCCTTACAAGTGCTCCTGAAGGAAGCACTAAACATAGAAAGGAACAACCAGCCACTCCAAAAATTTACCAAATGGTCAAGAGCATCGACACAATGAAGAAGCTGCATCAACGCATGGGCAAAACAAGCAGCTAGCATCAAATGGCAGGATCAAATTCACACATTACAACATTTACCTTAAATGTAAATGGGCTAAATGCTCCAATCAAAAGACACAGACTGGCAAATTGGATAAAAAGTCAAAACCCATTGGTGTGCTGTAACCAGGAAACCCATCTCACATGCAAGGATACACATAGGCTCAAAATGAAGGGATATAGGAAGATTTACCAAGCAAATGGAGAGCAAAAAAAAAGCCAGAGTCGCAATCCCAGTTTCTGATAAAATAGACTTTAAATCAACAAAGATCAAAAGAGACAAAGAAGGGCATTACATAATGGTAAAAGGATCAATGCCACAAGAAGAGGTAATGATCCTAAACATATATGCACCCAATACAGGAGCACCCAGATACATAAAGGAAGTTCTTAATAACCCTGGAAGAAAACCTAGGCAAAAGCATTCAGGACACAGGCATAGGCAAGGACTTCATGACCAAAACACCAAAAGCATTTGCAACAAAAGCCAAAATAGACAAATGGGATCTAATTAAACTCCAGAGCTCCTGCACAGCAAAAGAAACAATCATTAGAGTGAACTGGCGACCAACAAAATGGGAAAAATTTTTTACAATCTACCCATCTGACAAAGGGCTAATATCCAGAATCTACAAAGAACTAAAACAGATTTACAAGAAAAAAACTAACAAGCCCATTCAAAAGTGGGAAAAGTATATGAACAGACACTTTTCAAAAGAGGACATACATGAGGCCAACAAACATATGAAAAAATGCTCATCACCACTGGTCATTAGAGTAATGCAAATCAAAACTACATTGAGATACCATCTCACGTAATGCAAATCAAAACTACATTGAGATACCATCTCACGCCAGTTAGAATGGCAATCATTAAAAAATCTGGAGACAACAGATGCTGGAGAGGATGTGGAGAAATAGGAACACTTTTACACTGTTGGTGGGATTGTAAATTAGTTCAACCATTGTGGAAGACAGTGTGGTGATTCCTCAAGGACCTAGAAATAGGAATTCCATTTGACCCAGCAATCCCATTACTGGGTATACATCCAAAGGATTATAAATTGTTCTATTATAAAGGTACATGCACACA